CTCGTGGCGGGCTACTCGCTAGTCTTCTGTTCTCGGCTCCAGATGTGAGGCTGAGATCTACGCCGGGGCTATGGCTGCTCAGGAGCTTCGCTGGCTCACCTACCTGCTGACCGACCTTGGAGAGCCGCCTCGTTCTCCTCCACTTCTGTACGTAGACAACAAGGCCATGCTGGCCTTGTGTCGAGAGCAGCGACTGGAGCACAGGACAAAGCACATTGCTCTCCGCTACTTTCTTGCTCGTGAGCTGCAGCAGCGTGGACAGTTGCGACTTGCGTACGTGGCCTTTGAGGCCAACACTGCTGATGTCTTCACCAAGGCACTTGCGCCTTGTGATCATCAGCGTTGCTGCACGCAGCTAGGTCTTGTGCCTGTCTTGTCTCACTTGCTCACTTCTTGACCTTGCTTGTACCTTGACCTATATATACTCTTGCTCTTGCTTGCTTGACTCTTGTATATCTCTATATATGATTTTGCATGCGAACTGGCCTTGTGGCCCTTGACCTTGTGCTCGGAATGTGTGGTGACTTTGTGATCCACCCTGAGCTTTGCTTTGCTTTGCTTGACTGGTCTTGTGACCCCTTGTTCTCCCCCACTTTGCCTATGGGGGTGTGTCAGAACATTATAGCTTACTTGTTTGTGTAGGCTATAGTGGGGTATCCCATAGGGTTTCCTATTTGTACTCACCTCGTTCGTAGTCAATTGATTCACGTTGCTTTCTTCACAGCCTTGCAAAAAGTTCTGCCATTACGAAGTTATGGCTCGGACAGCGTTTGCCTAGCGTTAGAGTGCTAGCGTACTAGCATTGACTCGGGTAGCATTCCGCCGTCGCACTGCGTAGCAACGAATTTCCAAGAAGGGGGGAATTCGCTTGAATCAAGTTGACTATATTCAGGTACAAACAGAGAAGGAATATATAGTTCTAGCTAGCAAGGACCTTGGGAATCAACCTGGGAACAACCAGGGATGATCTCAAATAATTCCAAGCAACAGAACCAACCTGGCTGGACAAAACAGCAGGTGGTAGGTTGGTAAACAACCTCTGGTTCTGTTTTTCCAACCTAGGAAAACAACAACCAGGTTCAAGTCCTAAAAACAGAACCTGTTTTGTCTTTGCCCAACCAGCCAAATGATGGTTCCGCTGATTTCTCCTGGCCCTGTAACATGTAGATACAGACAAACAACATCCAACCTTCACCTAAATTCTACCCCTATAGTTCCTGCCCTGCTACACTATAGTCAACCAAACAAAACAGTACAATTACAAGTTGGATAGAACTGAATTTGCGCAATCAATTCGACCTAACTGCAAAGCTTCCATCTTGGGTTCCTTTGCGAGCTCGTCCATTCTGCTTGCACTGCTCATAGCGCGTACAATGTTGTGCCAAAGCGCACATTGTGCGAGTACCTGCAAATGCTTCAAGCGAAAATTGCGAAAGCAAACAAACACACGAACATACCATTCACACGCAAATGCATTCGCACACGCATACTCGTACAAACAGACGGCAGGATGTCGTGCAATGTGAATTTTGCACCCAACAGGTACAGTGATGTGCAACAGTGCCACACTGTCCCCAATTAAGAAGGGTCTCGAAACTACCCTTCACAAGGGCCTACACCAAGTGAAATGTTACACTACACAAAGTAATCTAACTATCTTCAATATCTTGAAGTGTACCCTTTTGGCGAGCTTCGAAATCACTTGAGGCATGACACCAAGGCTCAGGTTCTTCATCACAAACTCATCCTTGAGTTCTTGGTGGGTCTGCTACACACATTTGCGACACGCAGAACGTTCCACACAGGACAAAATAGAAACCGCGCGAGACATACAAGCGACAAAATGGAAACCACGCGGGATACGACTAGTGATAACTCGCTATTGACTCGACACACACATTCGACATCATGAGTCAACATTCACACACTTTTATAAGCATGAAATAAATATTTTTTCCCGTGCTCCATTCCATTCCATGCACACACGCATGCACGCACACGGACATTAAGCCAAATGCAAACTGTAGGGTTGCACCAACAGAATAGTGACACGACTCGTTCGGACGACAAGGCCGAACGGCATGTGGAAGTAGCATGCAGTTTTGCGAGGCATCCTGCTGAGGCTCGTACCTTGGTGAGGATGACGTCCCAGGTGGTGACACCTGGGCTATCGAGCTGAATGTAGATGCCTAGAATCCTTTCCGCCTCATTTGAGTGGCGAATGGGTATAGGGCATGAGGATGGGATTGCTTCAGGTGGCTGATGTTGCAGGTGGATCGAACATTTAGTCCAGTTGGCATGTTCACCTGACACGGCAGCGAATGAGTGAAGAAGGGTCATTGCTATATGGAGTTCCTCTCTAGAGTTGAGGAACAGGGTCATATCATTGGCATAGCATGCGGCTAGACGTCTCTGAGCAGGTGCGAAAGGGAAGCCTGGCAGGGCGACCAAGAGGTGACGGTGCAGGACTTGGATGACACAGATGAAGAGCAGGGGCGCCAGGGGGCATCCCTGGCGCACACCAGTGAGGACAGAGATGGGTCGACCAGCCATGTTGTTGACCAGGATTTGAGTGCGGGCTCCTGTGTGGGGAAGCTTCACCCAGGTGATGAATTCTTGCGGTAAGCCAAGGTGAGCCAGTCATTTGTACAGGAATTTTCGATCCACCATGTCAAATGCTTTTTCAATATCTACAGTACGCATGAGAAGGGTAAGATTTTTTGCCTGAGCCCATTCCATAAGGTCCAGGGAGTCATTGATTGTGTCGCCGATGCGTCGGATTGGGAGGGGTAAATGATGCGCCGGAGTTTGATTTGTAGGCGCTTGGCCAGGCAGGTCGCGATGACCTTATACTCCATTGTCATGAGTGTGATTGGCTGCAGCTTTTCAACCAGCGATGCATCTGCACGTTTGGGAATGAGCACCATGCGGCTGACAAGCATGGAATCCGACATGGTTGACGAGGCTTGAATGGAGGTGACAAGGTCGTGAAGGACTGGTGTGAAGCTGGTAAGGTGGGCACGATAGAAATCACCGGCCAGGCCGTCATGTCCTGGCGTTTTGCTGCGCGCTAGTGCAAAAATAGCGTTTTTGACTTGTGTCAGGCAAACAGGCGGCGATCCGTGTGATGGTGGTTGTTGGCAGGTGTGAAGGGTAGATGTGGTCCCAGAATCCTTCTGTGGGAGTGGCGGTGTGTCCACCTTTGTAAAGATTTGCATAGAAGTTGGTACAGTGAGCGGTCATTTTCCTCGGGTCTGAGGTTTGTTCTCCAGACGGGAGTACAAGGTGGTTCATCAGAGCTGCCTTGTTTCGAGCGTTTAGATCGACCAGCAGAGATGGAAGCCCCATTGCCCCCTTCCAGCTTCAATTTGGCTTTCATGGCGATTTTCGCAGCTTGTTCAAATTGTTCGGCAGTTTTTGTTAGCAAGGCTCGTGCCGTCTGATCATGTGGTTCTTGTACCAGCAGTAAAAGGAGCCGGCAGATTCCATTGTGGAGGTGCGAAGTGGTTTTGGCCACACGGATTCGATCTCCGCAGGTGTATTGCCGTAGGAGACTGCATAGCCGGCGTTTCCAGGGGTCCCAGTGTTCTGATTTGAGGGGGGATGGGAGGTACTTGCAAGTATCGATGACTAAGTGCGCCACAAAGGGTTTGTGAATGAGTGCATGCGGGAAGCACCAGGAGCGTGGGGCATAGTTGGGGTTGTCGAACCTGAGTCGGATCTCCGGATATCTGGAGTGATCAGACACTGTGTGCAGAAGTGTTTGGTGTGAGAATGTAAGAACACGTTGTGCCCAAGCGTTGCTGATGTGAATCCTATCGAGCCGAGATTTTGATGAATACCCGGGTGAGCCATCTAGGGAGGGCGATTCGAAGGTGAATACAGGGTCGGACTGCTGCCGTTCTAGGTGTGGGCCGACCAGGTCGTGTGAGTCACAAATCCCTTCCAATAGTTGACCTTCTGTTTTCTCGTAAGCTAGAAGAGGTCGATTGCGATCGTACAGAGAAAGTACGGTGTTAAAATTGCCCATCACAACAGTGACGTCACTCGCTGAGGGTGCTTCCAAGGCGGGAGCGAGTGTGTTGACCCACCAACTACGTCGGGCAGGGTGATATGATGGTCCGTAAAGACAAATGCACCGGAATTGTTTCTGAAGAAAGCCAATTTGCATAACCAGCATGCGCCCATCATCCGAGACGGATCTACTCAGGGTTAAACACAAGCAGGGCCATCCCACCTGGAGTCAATTTCCCGTTAGACTTGAAAGGTGGGACTTGAGCATATGCGGAGGGCCTCAGTTTGTAGCGTAACTTGGTAAAGGTCTTGGTTAGTCTGGTATAAATGAGTACAAGGATGTCTGGCAGTTTGAGAAGTGATGCTTAAGATTATCCATTTTTTTCAAGGAATTGAGGCCAGTAACATTCATGCATGCTATATGGAGTGGTGTCAACATTTATGAAGGATCAGAGCCCCAGTGCACCGGTGTGCGCTCATCCACGGGGCAGGGACTGATGGGTTGAGAGAGAGTTGAGCTGTTCTACTTTGTGGGTTAATTGTGACACGTGAAATCCTTATGCTGGTTGATGGTGCGATGTAGGTGAGTGCTGTGCGCAGAGATAATGTTTGGGGCTGTGCCCAGCTTTTCAGAGTAACAAGGCCAGCTACTATGCCAGGCAAAGATGATTAACAAGAGTAGGGTCAGCACCGGACCCAATTGGCATATAGGTATAAACAACGGCAAACTCATGCCTTCAGTATGGCCAGTGTCACCATCTACATCTCGGAGGCCAAGAAGGTGGCAATTTCTGCCTTTTGCAGGGTATGCACTTTCTGATCCGCCAGGATTTTCATTGGCATCTGCTGTGTTTTGGATTGCATTAGACGGAAACCATGTCCCGGAGAGCGGATATGATTGAAAGCTGAGTCGAGCGCAGGGCCGCACTCGAAGTCGCACAGGGTGCACGTCCATGTTTCGACGTCGTCTCCCAAGCTGATGTAAATTACTCCGGGGTCGGCTTTGACGGCCATGGGGACAGGGGTCTGCCCAAGCAGCTTTGCTGAGAGTATAGGGAAACGGAGGGGCGAGATAGAGAAGGGAGAAGCAAGCGGGATGAGAGTACAAGCCCGTAGCAGGCCAGAGGCCATACACACGAGGAGGGGATGCGGACATCGAGAGCGGCGATGGAGTAATCTGGAGAGAAAAGGTGCATACACACAGCTGAAATTCAGCGGCTGTGTTCATAATAGTCAAGAAATAACCGACCGTGAGTTGGAGTTCGTACAGAGGAAGAAGTACTAGCCAAGTAAAAACGAGGTGGATACCAGGGAGTACGAAACAAGTACGAGTACCATTGATGTGTTGCAATTGGCCGACCGAGATCTGGTACTGGTTGGGGATGCGCGAGCGGCGAGTCGCTGCAAAGCACGCGTGGTCCCGAGTTCGGTGATTGCTCGTGCATATCTCGCATTTGTGGCAAAACAAGTTGATGATGACCGGGGCTGTGACGTATGGCAGCCACAGGATGGCAGGGATGCAGTCGAAGAGCTGGTCGTCGTAATCTGCAATGGGGGTGCCCACGGGAAGGGACACTTCCTCGTATGGATCATGCACACGGTGAAAGGACCAAATTTCAGATAACCATCAACTTTCTTCCTCGCGGAGACTGGTAGTGATTAGCCGGCGGATCCTATCCAAGGAATACCCCAGGAGGATATTACGCAAGACCAGGTGGGGATTGCCCCGCGCCTTTGCTGCAGTGAACGAGGGTTCCGGGTCATCGAAGATGTTCAGTTCCACCGACACGCCATTGGCGGTGTAGGTAATAAGGAAGACATGTCGGAAGCACCTCGCGTCCTCACGCGTCGGCAGCTGAAAGATGTGTCGCGTGTAGGAGCGACGAGGGAGACGCAGGATCTCCCCGGCCGATGAGTCGAAGTAAGGGACACGACCGGAGTGCGGAAACTGCGCAGGGCGGAGACCAAGCCGAACACAGTTCACAATCTTACTGCGGTGAGACTCATCAAGGTTGTCAGGGAAGATAATCGTAACGAGGTTAACCGTACCACAAACCAGCAATTCAACCATCACACCCACGATACCACGGTTGCGACAAAGCCGTTGGTGTGGGCCGTTCAGCATAGGAAGTGGCGGGGAGCTTGTGTCAGCCGCGTTGAGCGTGATGTCATAGAAACCAGCATCGGGCTCCGTTGGCTGAATAGGCATGGGCTGCGCGGAGGATGAGGCCTCGCCGGTGCAGACCTTCTTGGCAAGGGGAGGTGAGGGACCATCGTCCGGCAAGAGATCATTCATGGAGGGGATTGGGCCTCCGTTCTCAGCCATGACGGCGTCAAAATCAGGAGGAGCAGTCGTCATGGTGGGAGTGACAAGGAATAGCCATCCTTGAAGGTGAGTTAAGTAGTCCGAGTGGCGATTCCATAGCGACAGTACTTTGCTCAAGGGATCGCAAGGGAAGGTACCGAGGTGTGATGTGAAGCGCGAATCGAAGCAGAGGCAATGGCCTAAGAGCTTCAGAAACACCCCAGTAGGGTCATGCAGTCTTTCGAGGGAGAACAAGCATGCAAGCAAGAAAGGTTCAGTGGTCAATAAGCAGCTTGAGCCGTGGAGGAGGAAGAAGAACATGCAGCGACTGAGACCGCAGAAAGACTTGCTTGCTGGTGACAGCAGGGCCGAAACTCACGAGGCATTTTGCTCAAGGTGCCATACTGACGCCAGATTGTTCCAGATCCAGTTATGGCTAGATCGGTGATGACGTGTGTTGCGAGGTTTTTTCGTGGCGTCTCGCCGACCGACACCGCCATGCGGCATGAGGAGAAACGGGCAGTTCCGTGTAATTTCTATGGGTCGAGAAGATCCATGCCGACAAGGAGAAGTCATACTGCGGCGCCAAAAATGGTGAGGATGAGACCATTGACGAATGGTGGGTCGTTTTAAGGCCACATAGGACAAAATTCCACCATAGATCCATGGTTGAGTAGTCCGACTTGTAATATCGTGTGGTATAGGAATGAGAGGTTGCCACGGAGGAGAAGAGTCATGGGTCCAATTCCTAAACAAGTTAGGGAAGGACTGCCGAGATCCAGAAAATCTGACCGTGGAAGTCTTACCATCATGCAGGGTTATGTTGACAGGGATCCACTTGTTAGGTTGCAGATCATGCAGTATCGCAAAGGTTGTAAATTCACCATGACCAGACCTGCGGCAGCCATGTGTGAGTGGAAAAACAGGACAAAACTTACCGTGAAGCAACTGCAGAAGGTCAGTTGGAAGTCGAAGGATCCTGTAGCCTTGAGCAGCGAACGGTTGTTTGAAAGTCCAATTTGGTGGAGTTGCCAAGGCAGAGAGCTCAGGTGCGGAGACATTATTTTGCCTGGGTGAGCAGGTGAGGGGATTTTGGAGCATCGAGCATCTGGAATGCACGCGTTCTGAGATGACTCAGCATCCAATCGCATTCACCCCCAAAGAGTGGACCGGTTGGACCAACTGGCCTATTGGTCCACTTGACAGGTGGGACCAACTGGCCTGTTGGTCCACTGGACCGGTTGGAACAACTGGCCTTCTGTTCCGGTGGTCCGGTTGGACCGATTCGCCTACTAGTCCAGTGGACCGGTTGGGATCAACTAGCCTATTGGTCCAATGGACCGGGTGGACCAACTGGCCTATTGGTCCTATGGACCGGTTGGACCAACTGGCCTGTTGGTTTAGTAGACTGGTTGGACCAACTGGCCTGTTGGTCCACTTGACCGGATGGACCAACTGGCCAATTGTTCAAATCGAACGTTGGACCAATTTGCCTGTTGGTCCTCTTGACTGGTTGGACCAACGGGCCTGTTGGTCCACTCGACTTGTTGGACCAACTGGCCTGTTGGTCCACCGGACCAGTTGGACCAACTAGCAAGTTGGCCCACAGGACCGGTTGGGACCAACTAGCCTAGTGTTCCAAACGAAAGTTGTACCAGTTTGCCTGTTGGTCCACTCAATTGGTTGAACCAACATGCCTTTTGGTCCACTAGACCGGTTGGACCAACTGGCGTGTTGGTCCAGTGGACCCATTGGACCAACTGGCCTGTTGGTCCACTGGAAGGGTTGGACCAGTTGCGCTGTTGGTCCTCTGGACCAGTTGGACCAAGTGGCCTGCTAGTGAACAGGACCGGTTGGACCAACTAGACTATTGTTCCAATCGAACGTTCGACAAATCTGCCTGTTGGTCCACATAACTAGTTGGACCAATTGGGCTGTTGGTCTACTCGTCTTGTTGAACCAACTAGCCTGTTGGTCCACTGGACTGGATTGGACCAATTGGCCTGTTGGTCCAATGGACCGGCTGGACCAACACGCTTGTTGATCCACTGGACTGGTTGGACCAACTGGACTATTGTTTCAATCAACAGTTGGACCAATTTGTTTGTTGGTCCGATCCACTGGTTATGCAACTGGCTTGTTGGTCCACTCAACCGGTTGGACCAGCTGGCCTATAGGTCCAGCGGACTGGTTGGACCAACTAAACTGTTGGTCCACTAGACCGGTTGGGTCCAACTGGCCTGTTCGTCAAGCAGACAAGATGGACCAACTGGCCTGTTGGTCTTGTAGACCGGTTGGACCAACTAGCCTGTTGGTTTAGTGGACCTATTGGACCAACAGGCCTGCTGGTCCAATGGACCGGTTGGACCAACTGGCCTGTTAGTCCTCCAGACCGATTGGGACCAACTGGCCGGTTTGTCCAATGAACCGGTTGGTCCAACTGGCCTATTGGACCAACAGACCTATTGTTCCAATCGAAAGTTGGACCAATTTGCCTGTTGGTCCACTCGACTTGTCAGACCAAAAGGCCTGTTGGTCCACTGGACCAGCTGGATCAACTGGCTTGTACCTCCATTGGACTGGTTGGACCAACTGGCCTGTTGGTTCACTGGAACGGTTAGGACCAATTGGCGAAATGGTCCAATGGAACGGATGGACCAAATCGCCTAATGTTCCAAAAAGAAGTTGGACCAAATTGCCTACTGGTCCACTCAACTGGTTGGAAGAACTGGCCTATTCGTCCACTGGAACGATTGGACCAACTAGCCTATAGGTCTAGTGGACCAGTTGTACCAACATGCCAGTTGGTATACTGGACCGGTTGGGACCAACTAGCCTGTTTGTCTAGTGGACTCGTTTGAATAACTGGCCTATTGGTCCACTGGACTGGTTGGACCAACTGGCCTGTTGGTCCATTTGACCGGTTTGGACCAATTGGCCTGTTGGTCCAGTGGACTGGTTGGACCAACTGGCCAGTTAGTCCACTAGACCGATTGGGACCAACTGGCCTGATGGTCCGATGGACGGGTTGGACCAACACTCCTGTTGGTCCACTAGATCGGTTGGACCAACTAACCTATTGGTCCACTGGACCGGTTGGACAAACTGGCCGGTTGGTTAAAGAACCGGTTTGGCCAACTGGCCTGCTGATCTAGTGGACCCGTTGGACCAACTTGCTTGCAGGTCCACTGGATCGGTTGGACCAACTCACCTGTTGGTCCGCTTGACTGGTTGGACCAACTGGCCAGTTGGTCCACTCTACTTGTTGGACCACAGGACCACTTGGACCAACTAGCTTGTTGGTCCAGTGGACTGGTTGTACCAACTGGGCTGTTGGTCCACTTGACCAGTTGGACCAACTGGCCGGTTGGTCCACTTGACCGGTTGTTCCAACTGGCCTATAGGTCCAGCGGACTGGTTGGACCAACTGGCCTGTTGGTCCACTAGACCGGTTGGGACAAACTGGCCTGTTGGTCAAGTGGACCGGTTGGACCAACTGGCCTGTTGGTCTTGTAGAGCGGTTGGACCAACTGGCTTGTCATTTCAATCGAACGTTGCACCAATCTCCCCGTTGGTCCACTCGTCTGGTTGGACCACAGGTTTGTTGGTCCGGTGGACCATTTGGACCAACTTGCCTGTTGGTCCACTAGACTGGTTGGGACCAGCTGGCTTATTGGTACAATGGACCGGCTGGACCAACTTGCCTGTTGGTCCAGTAGACTGGTTGGATCAACTGGCCTGTTGGTTCACTTAACTGGTGGGACCTTTTGGCCTGTCGATCCACTTGACTGGTTGGACCAACTGGCCGGTTGGTTTTGTGGACCAGTTGGACCAACTAGCTTTTAGGTTCAGCGGACCGGTTTGACCAACTAGCTCGTTGGTCGACTGGACCGGTTGGTACTGATTGGCCTGTTGGTCCAATGGACCGGTTGGACAAACTGGCTTGTTGGTCCACTAGACCATTAAGTGATGCTATCATTTGCATTCGCGTGTGTCTGCCTCCCATTATGTATTCGTGCGTTGCATGCGTGGTGTGGGCGTGTGCAAGAAGTTGTGTTCGGTATGGTTTGGATTTTCAGAGTGTGTGTGTGTGAATGCTATTTGGCTTAAGCAGATATCTGAAGTGACTCCTCTGCTCAAGAGCTTTCAGATGAACCAAGGATCGCTTCAATCGGAGCAAGAACGAGAAAGTTACGATCGTTCGAAGTTTTGATTGTGATGCCGCAACTTCGGAAGTTTGTTGAGTGACTCAATATGGGGTATAGACTTTTAGGGGTTGGGAAATTCGTCCCCATCATTGTAGATGATGCCAAGTGGTTGGGAGAAGTCAAATCAGGTTGGCAAGTGTGGCCAAGTTGGGTGAGGTGGATGGCATGAGTTGGGAATGTGACAAATGTCAAAGTTGGGGTGCCTACAGAGAGGGGGATTGTGTGGTATAGGGTTTTCTTGGTGGGGACTCCTTGGGGACCTTCCCTCTCATCCTCCTCTTCCCTTCAACCTGGTTTATGACTACTCTAATTCTCTTGTGTGTAACTTCTAAGTTAATTCTCATTGAGTTAAGTTTCAATTCAGCATACCCCTTAGTGCGCCGAAATTCATAACTCAAGAAATATTTCACCTTTGCATACCATTCAAGATGTGAAATGTAGCCACGGAGTAGAGCTACAACATGAAATTAGTGAAGTTTGAAAGCAGCGATTTTCACGAAGTCGACAATCCTGTCCAGAGTTATAAACCAACGATTTTGAGTAATTTTGGCCCCTAGTCTTCATAAACTCAGTCCTCAGTCTCTAACATAGACTGGTTGGACCACATGGCATATTGTTTCAATAAAAAAACTGGACCAATTGCATTGGTGGTCCACTCGACTGGTTAAACCAACTAGCCTGTTGGTCCATTCAACCAGTTGGACCAACTGGCTTGTAGGTCTAGCGGACTGGCTGGACCAACTGGCCTGTTGGTCCACTAGACCGGGTGGGACCAACTGACCTGTTGGTCCAGTGAACCGGTTGGATCAACTT